GGGCGGGCGCTGCGAGGGTCCGCTGCAGCGCCGGGAGCGACAGCCAAACCCGCGCTCACAGAAAAAGAAATAATCCACCTCAGCGCTGCGGCCTTAACAGGGGAGGGCATGAGAAAAGCCACCGCGGTGGCTGCGCAGCCCCCCGAGCGGGGGCCAAGGCCATGACTTATCCCCCTCCCCAAAAGAGCGGGGCGCTTGTGGGGCCTCCCCCCACCCCGCGTTTTTAAAGGGAGCGATGACTCCTCGCAGGCGCCCGTTAGGCTTTAACAAAGACGGTGGGATTCCCTGAATGAGCCACGCTATCTCGCAAGCCGCCCCACCGCAAAGTTATATTTGTCCCGCGTGTGATTCATGTGAGTGATATTCTCCCCGCTGCTGGTAAGTGAATTTGCTCCCTTTGCAATTCTGTGCAGAGCCGTCAACGCTGTCAGGAAACGTTTCTGCGAGGCAAAACGCGCTCAGGCCAGGAGCACGCGACGGGAGATACGGGTTTCCTGCCCGGGCTGGGAGCGGGAACCTGCTTCTGGGGCCGAGGTAAGTCTGCCCGGCTCTGGGGACACCGGCCAGAGAGCTGCAAAATCGGGGGTGGGGGGGCAGTCCCAGTTCGGGCAGAAAGCATCATACGATCCAGTTGCAGCAAAAACCTTCTGCATCCTAAGAAAGCGCTGCCTTTTGGCTTTATGTTTCAGGAAAAGACACACAAACATACAGGCTCTACGCATGGAGAACGCAGCGGCTGATTTTGCTAGAAGCTGAAACTGGATGTACATTAATATGGAGTAAATCCATTTTTAGATCTAATTTTCTGTTTAGGGCTTTTGAGGCCCCCCCATTTATGTCGAATCGTGCTTCCCCCTCTGGCAGCTCCGCTCATGGACGCGCGCGAGAGGCTTTTCAGCATGCGTAAAGGTGTCTCAGTCACGTAATTTAATCACAAATTTCCCTTCGAGACATTTCAATATAAATAGCCCGACAGAAGGGAAGCGCTACGAGACGGGCGCGAGAGCTTTCCCATTGACGGCTGCTGAAAAAAGAACAAGCGCTTATTTTTCTGTCTGCACTTACACATTTTAGCAGCCCTATTATAACATACAGCTATAGATCTAAATCGCACGGGCGAAACCCCGACCGCAGGAGCAGCCCGAGGCTTGCAAAGCCCCGCGCTCCGGAGCCAACGCTGGCTCTCAAGCCGCCTGCGAAACCTTAGCGCGGCACGCAGGCTCTGTGAAGGCGGGCCGGGTTTCCCCCGGGCGTTAAGAAGGAAACGTGTTTTCTCTCAGCTCCTGTCCAGGGAGGTGCCAGCGGGAGCGGTGGAAGAGCCCAGCCAGCCTGCCCGGAGACCTTCCCTGCCACGTTTGCCGTCCTTTCGGGCAGGGACCACAAGAGGCTTCTTGCAGGGGCCGGAGGAGCCGGCCAGGCTGCGCCGGTCGCCCCAGCTACCCTCGCGAGAGAGCTGGGCCTTTCTGACCGCGTTAGAGGGCCGTGAGGGTCTTACACCGAACCTTGTCCAACACTGCAGGACTGGCCATGTCCGGATATACCTGCAGCGGGGTTGAGAGAGATGGAGGAGGAAGAAAGGGTCTGTTTGGCTGATTTCGTTTTAATTCGATTGCAAAACGCAGCCGTGCCTTGCAGAAGGGGAGGAGCGGGGATAAGCCTGAGCACCAGGGAGCCGCGCTGGACGTGTGGGGACGCTTTCCCCAGAGGACAACCCGAAGCTGTTGGCGTTGTGGTGGGGCCATCTGCCGTCAGCTGCCAAGAGCCCCAAAACTGGCAGGGGAAACGGGATGAGTCTCATAGCTTCTGTCGCCTCCAACGTGGCATCAAACCACTCTCCTCCTGGACCAACCTCTCCACCCCAGGAGCACCCTT